CTACATCATACGGCTATACAAATATATATGTTTTTGTTCCTTCTGTTTTGAGATTTTCACTTTGAAGTTTAAAAAAAACTAGTAATTTTGATTAATTAGCCTCTAGTTTTTTCACAAACACTGTAGAGAGTTGAGCCTAGAGACTAATAGATAGTAAATTTAGTTTTTGACATCTTGTCACTTCTAGTCCCACCGTGGAAAACACTTCCTTCATGGCGAAAAACGGAAAATAAAGTTTAAAAAGACGTTTTCACCCTGTAGGTGATGAAATGGAAATTACAAAATTTTAACTTTTAATTTTGAACTTTATACATTTTAAAGAATTGGTCCCAATTCCGTCTGTTGCTATTTTTTATTGAAAATAGCACCAGTAGATAGCTCTTTAAAAGTACTAGGGGGCTGTCTGATCTGATCGTTCGAAAGTCAAACAATTTAAGGGAGAAAAACAAAATACGCTGATTTCGTGACAGACGGCAACGAGAAAACGCGCGGGTCTAGGGCTTCTTTCTAATACCTAGGGGCAAATGCTTTTGTATGCAGAGAAGACGACTGGAAAGAGCGTTCAATCCTCTAGAAAACCTGTTTATGAGATAGTTTTAAATCACATTGACTCTTTTGAAAGAAACACATTAAAGATGATCAATGAATCACGTTATTCATCTTGTGGTTAATCAGCTGCATTCCTATGGACTTTTCTCCATCTCCTCCCACTAAAAGGCCGGTACAGGAGCGGTTTCATATACTATCTGCTGCGCTCTTTCACGGGATGTACGCAGATTTGTCCCATTTTAAAGTTCATACTGCCGCAACTGGATGGACCGTTACGTGGCCAGGCCGATTATGCTCCTTCCTTCATATGTGATATATCACTTCATAAAAGTTCACAGTTCACGTTTGTATCACGCCGGCCGTCAATTAGATCGAAGACGAAACTTAACACTAACGAACGGAAAAAAACATTTCTATGCGTCCACTTACGAAGAAAACTGTTTAGCAAATTTTTTCTTCTCATCGTATGAACCCAGTATTTGCACAATGAAGTAAGATGGGGGAAAAAACCAAGCAAAAATTTTGAGCATGAATCTTTCTGGAATTTATAAAAGTATATATTCTAAACAAAACAATAGAAACCAAGTAAATGAAATAGAATTTTGTTTTATTAAAAATAGTTGAGAAGCTGATGTATCAATGCATGAAAGAAACGAAACAATTGTCAATTGCATCTCATTGAAACAAGAAGAAAGGAAACAATATTTTTCAACAGTGTTTATACAATTTAATGACTAATAGTGGGTATCGTTTGCAATGGTCTTTTACTTGTGTGCGCGACAAAGATCAGAATGGCCTTAGATCCGACTCAAAGATCTTTTGATTCCTACAATTTTCTTTAGTGTTTATCAGAATAGGCATCATGTCCACCACGCACCTGTCAAACATTTATACCAGTCATAGTGAGCCCAGCATTTACGCAAACGATGACGCATCTGACTCCCCAGTATCATCTCGTAAATATGACGCAAACACCGTAGACAAACCAGAAGACAAATATTAATATCAAGGCAATGAGTCATTGCAGATAGAAGAGAAAAACGCTAGTCTTGCTGTCATTTCTAATTCCGGAATCAGATTCTATATAAAACAGAACAAGAAGACAATGATCGTAGCAGGCATAGCAAGCATCATCATCCTTGGATTGGTCATAGGTTTGGCTGTTACTGCTAGTAATAAGAATACTACATTTTCTTCTTCAACAAGCTCTAACAATAACAATAACGTAATCGATTACAATACTACAAATACTTTAGTTGGTATGTAAAAGTCAGAGTAATTTATCACTTGATCACTTTCCTTTTCCGCAGTTTCATCGTCGATTCTGTCAACAGTCGTAACAGCGACATCAGGCCTGTATCCAATTTCAACAACTGGCCCACCTCCAGCCACTTCAGCTGCGACGACCATAAGTAAACACTGTCTTTGTAATTAGTCATTGTAGAAAGCATGATGGAATGCAGTGTGACTTTTTTGTCGTTTTAAGCAACCACAATGCTTGTTCCGTCCACCACATTTACGAAAATTGTTGCTGCTTCAACTTCTGCGGTAACAGGTATTGCGGCAAACGGGACTGCGACTATACGTAAGTTTGTTTCATCATGAGAAACTTATGCGATCGCAATTCGTTTCTACCATATGTAGTTGCGTGGAATCCAGATGGAGATATCGTGGCAGGAAACAACGGCTATGGGGATCAGGCAAATCAGCTATGTTATCCGGCTGGTTATTATATCGATAAAAACGGCTTTGTGTATGTAGCTGATAGTGGTAATAATAGGATACAAAAATGGGCACCGGATAGCGTTGCAGGTGAAACCGTAGCAGGTGGTCAAGGCGCGGGAAATAATGCAAGTCAGCTAAATTACCCGGCAAGTGTCCACGTCGATGATGATGGAAATATGTACATTCTCGATAGTAATAATTATCGAGTTCAGTATTGGCCTAAGAACTCAGCATATGCAAACACAACTGCTGGTGGAAGGGGTTCGGGTTCTGGCGGTAATCAGATAAGTTTTGCTGTTAGCATGACTTTTGACAGCTATGGTAATTTCTACATAGCAGAAACTTTAGAAAGTTCTCGCTCGAGAGTGACAAAATGGGTACCCAATGCAACGTCTGGTACTGTGGTAGCCGGAATTGAAGGTCAGGACTCTGGAAGCGATCAACTAAATAATCCCAGTGGTGCATATGAAGACAATAACGGAACTGTTTATGTTGCCGATACATATAACCATCGTGTGCAAAAATGGTTGAAAAACGCTCGAAATGGAACAGCGGTGATTATTCGTTTATAATGTTTCCAGGATGTAGCGTATCTCAGTCTTATCTGGTTCAACAGGTGGATGAAACGTGGTCCCTATAATATGCGGTTATTCAGACTGTGGCGGGAGGACAGGGCTTTGGCTCAAATGCCTCTCAACTGAACTATCCAAGGTCAGTTGTACTTGATAAGTACGATAATTTATACGTGTTAGATGCAGGAAACAATCGGGTGCAGTTATTCCCACCTGGATCTCTAGTCGGAACTACAGTTTTAGGAGGTCAGAATCAGTTTGGCTACTCATACTGCTTAACGATAGATCAGAACATGAACATTTATCTTGCCGATCAGTACAATCACCGAATTCTTAGATTTAATTATCTTTCATCACATTAGAAGTCTGGCATATGTGTAAAAAGATCCCACTATCTCGAGCTACTTAGATAATGGAACGATAATTACATAATTCAAAGTATTAACTTGTCCATCACGTGCGATATCTTATCTGAATACAACACTTTCGGGCAAGTTAATACTTTGAATTATGTAAAAAGACGTGAATAAAATTGTTTGATCTTAGGATTAAGTGTAGAATCATTTTAACACTACACATCTGAAGGGGGCACAAAATTAAATTGGGAACAATGGGGGTGAAGAACTGTGGCTGTATGAAATATTCATGTTTCGATGGCGAATGTAAATCATCGAATAATTTCTTGCCGTCATCAGCAACTAGACAGGATGTACTTTATATAAGGAATATGCTGTTTCGACAAGGGGCTTAAAATATGACAACAGCCTGTCAAGTAAGGTTAATATGCACTTCCACATGTCAGACTCTGTTCAGTAATGTGTGGAATATATGTATAAATGCACATGCTAAGGATGGTAAGTGTGCCGATTATTTGGAGGATTCATGCCGAGATAGTTATTAGTTTCCGATGAATTTGGTATTATTTCCAAACGTTTTTCCCATAAACAGAAAATAAAGTGGATTTTAGTTCAACCAGGACGCCAGTTTACAATCGGAATATATTTTCTATAAGGATAAAATACTTGAATTTCGTTAGATTTGCTGAGAATAATGGAATAAATAGCTAGAGAACCACTGAAATGTTGTGTACACCTACAGAAGAAAGATTTATCAAGAGAATCAGATACTGAAGGCGATTGAAAGATTTCTTAAAATAAAATTGTACAAAGATAGTACCAATTTCTTTATCTAGATTTGTATAAATTAAATGTATTATGTTAAAAAGTGAGTTAACACTGTTGACTCAACAGTTGATAAGCTGTTGTATGGAGGAAATGATTATGTAATCAAGTCTTGTGGCCATATCTTTACTACACTGTTTCTTTACTACTTGTTTTACTACACTGCATAGAATTGAGCAGGTGAAATAGAGTACATCTTGATATTCTGACATAATTTCAATGAATCTTGACTGGATTATTAATTTTTTAACTATACTCGAAAATAAGCAAAAATGGGTTATTTCACCTAATATAGGTTTTTACTAGGTTTTTGAAAGTTTTCTGAATTTTGGCGCTCATAGTAGTTTAAATTAATGCTTTTTCAAATTCCTTTAACTCAGTTTTGTAATAAATCGCGTTACACTAATCGGAAGAAAACTAATTCAAAACAATTTATAATCGAATATTAGTTTGAATTAATTTTTTCAAGCTTATCGTAATCAGTTTCCTACCAAATTAATTTAGAACTGGTTTGAAAAAGAAAAATAGTTTTAAAATAAAAATTGTTAGATAGTATATCTAGTATAATTAAGGGCTAAGTTTCCCGAAGCAACTTTTTGCGTTAAATCAAATGGTAGTCTC